GGTAGTAGTAGTAGCAGTAGTAGTGGTAGTAGTAGTAGTCGAAGCAGTAGCAGTAAAGTAATATAAGTAGTGCCAGGTACTAACAGGAATAAGACTAGTAATAGAAATAGTAATAATACGAGTGACAGCAATGGAGATAGTAGTAGTATAAGTATTAGTATTAGTATTAGTAATAGTATTAGTATTAGTATTAGTATTAGTATTAGTATTAATATTAGTATTAGTATTAGTATTAGTATTAGGATTAGTATTAGTAGTAGTAGTAGTAGTAGTATTAGTATTAGTATCAGTATTAGTATTAATATCGGTAAGAAAATAGAAATAGTAACAGTAATAGTAGTAGTGATACTAACAGTAATCGTAATAGTAAAAAAAGGAATAGTAATAGTAATAGTAATAGTATTAGTAATAGTAATAGTAATAGTAATAGTAATAATAATAGTAATAGTAATAGTAATAGTAATAGTAATAGTAATAGTAATAGTAATAGTAATAGTAATAGTAATAGTAATAGGAATAATAATAGTAATAGTAATAATGCTAGTAATAGTAATAGTAATAGTGATAGTGATAGTGAAAGTAATAGTAATAGTAATAGTAATAATAATAGGGATAGTAATAGCAATAGTAATAGTAATAGTAATAGTATTAGTAATAATAATAGTAATAGTAATAGTAATAGTAATAGTAATAGTAATAGTAATAATACTAGCACACAAGATAACAATAGGAATAGTCAAAGTAATAGCTTTAGCTAAATCAATATTAATAGTAATAGTAATGGGAATAGTGATAGTAATAGGATCATGATAGTAATAGTAGTAGTGATAGTAGTAGTAGAAGTGTTAGTAATAGTAATAAAACTAGTACTAGTAATAGTAATCGTAATGGTAATAGTGATAGTAGTAGTAATAGTAATAGTAATAGTATTAGTAATAGTAATAGTAATAGTAAAAGTAATAGTAATAGTAATAGTAATAGTAATAGTAATAGTAATAGTAATAGTAATAGTAATAGTAATAGTAATAGTAATAGTAATAGTAATAGTAATAGTAATAGTAATAGGAATAGTAATAGTAATAGTAATAGTAATAGTAATAGTAATAGTAATAGTAATAGTAGTAGTAATAGTAATAGTAATAGTGATGGTTATAGAAATAGTAATAGTAATGGTTATAGAAGTAGTAATAATGATAGTGGTAGTGATAGAAATGATAATAGTAGTAATAATGATGCTAGTAATGGTATCAAAATAGTGCTAGAAATAGTTATACGAGTAGTGATAGTAATGAGAGTAATTGTAATAGTAATAGTATTATGAATTGTAATAGTAATCGTAATAGTAATAGCAATAGCAATAGTAATAGTAATAGTAATAGTAATAGTAATAGTAATAGTAATAGTAATAGTAATAGTAATAGTAATAGTAATAGTAATAGTAATAGTAATAGTAATAGTTATAGTAATAGTAATAGTAATAGTAATAGTAATAGTAATAGTAATTAGTAATAGTAATAGTAATAGTAATAGTAATAGTAATAGTAATAGTAATAGCAATAGTAATAGTGATAGTAATAGTAATAGTAATAGTAGTAATACTAATACTGATAGTGGTAGTAGTGATGATAGTATTCGTACTTGTATTCGTACTAGTGATAGTAATAGTAAATAGTAAGTGTAATAGTACTAATAGTAGTAGTAGTAGTAACGATATTAATAGTAGTGGAAATGAGAATAAGGGTATTACGTAATAGTGGTCGCACTAATAGCCGTGATACTGATAATAACGATAGCAGCACTCATCGTACTAGCGGTGACCGTGGCAACGGCAATCGTGAACGAAATAGGGGCACTAGTCATGGTAGTAGTAGTGGTAGTAGCAATAGTAGTAGCAGTAGTAGTAGTAGTAGCAGCAGCAGAAGTAATAGTAGTACGAGTAGTAGTGATAGTAGTAGCAATCGGAATAATACTAGAAGCCGCCGCAGTAGCAATAATATGAATCGTAGTCGCAGTAGTAGTAGTAGTAGTAGAAGTAGTCGTCGTCGCCGTGGCAATGGTCGTATTCGTGGTAGGAGTGAGGGCAGGCGTACAAGCAGATAAAATAATTGTAGTGGCGGTAGCAGTAGTAGAAGTAGAAGTAGAAGTAGTAGTAGTAGTCGTCGTTGCTGTAGTTGTAGTAGTAGTAGCAGCAGTAGTAGTAGAGTAGTAGTAGTAGTAGCAGTAGTAGTAGTAGTAGTAGTAGTAGTAGTAATAGTAGTAATAGTAGTAGTAGTAGCAGCAGCAGTAGTAGTAGTAGTAGTAGTACTAGTAGTAGTGGTAGTAGTAGTAGTAGTAGTAGTAGTAGTAGTAGTAGTGGTGGTAGTAGAAAACGATAGTAAGAGCAACAGAAATAGCCGTCGAAGTAGTAAAAGCCACAGTGGAAGCAGTAATCGAAGTGATGGCGGCCGTGGTCGTGGTAGTGGTGATACTAGCAACTGCGGTGGTAGTAGCAGTAGTAGCAGTAGTAGAAATAATGATAATACGACTGCAAATATACGACGAATGTTCGACATATACACAAAAACGCATACGGGACACATACGAAACATACTCGACGGACGCCTCAGCAGACACATACGAAACATGTACGAACGTATACGACACGTACACAAAAATGTCTGTGCAACAGATACGGACCGTCTACGGCACGCCCTTGAAACACACACGAAACATTTACGACGCATGCACAAACAGACACGACACAAATGCACATCATACACAAACCATATACGACACAGCTACTGCACACTCATACAAGTCGCATACGCAACATAAACGACAAGTACGCATACAAAACATACAACAAATACAGGGATACACATACACGACACGCATACAAAGCGCGCGCGACCAAAGCGCCCACAAAACGCATACGACACGGATGCTCACAGCACACGACACGTGTACGACACGGGTTTGGCGTTTGTGGTTTGGTGTTTGGTGTTTGGCGTTTGGTGTTTGGGGTTTGGGGTTTGGGGTTTGGGGTTTGGGGTTTGGTGATTGGCGCGTGGCGTTTGGTGCTGTGTTTGGGGTTCGGTGTTCGGCGTTTGGGGTTCGGAGTTCGAGGTTCGGCGTTTGGGGTTTGGTGCGTTGGGGTTTGGTGTTTGGTGCTTGGGGTGTGGTGTTTGGGGTTTGGTGGTGTGGGTTTGGCGTCTGGTGTTTGGGGTTTGGTGATTAGCGTGTGGCGTTTGGTGTTTGGGGTTTTGTGATTGGGGTTTGGTGTTCGGTGTTTGGGGTTTGGTGTTTGGGGCTTGGTGTTTGGCGTTTGGCGCGTGGAGTTTGGGGCTTGGGGTTTGGTGCTTCGGGCGCGGTGATTGGCGTTTGGGATTTGGTGGTTGGGGCTTGGTGCTTGGTGCTTGGGGCTCGGCGTTTAGGGCCTGGCGTTTGGGGCGTGGCGTTTGGCGTCTGATGCCCGAGGGCCCGATCATCAAGTCGGGCGGCGCTGCGGCTCGTCTCGAGCAGGGGCCGCTCAAAGGCAGCGCATAACTAGGCATGGCCGCTTCAAGCAGGTGAAGGGCAGCTCGCACCGTCGCCTCAAGGCGGAGCTCGAGGCCACGCGAGACGAGGAGGGCGCGGGCACGGTCCATCTATGCACGACCAGTCAGTCCGTGCACCATTCCCTAAAGTGAGAGGAACATCGCGCACACGTGCTACTCCTGCGTCGTCGACTACGGCATCCAGCTCAACGTGGCGGACCTCACCAAGTTCACGCTAGTCGGAAGAGCCAGGGCAGGTAGCAGGGCGCGCTGCACGCGAACTCTCCAGGGCATCGGCAAGCTCCTCAAGCGCACGCGCGGCCGCCGCGCCAAGCGGCGCCGGCGGCGTCCTCGCCCAGGCGCGGGCGCGGC